TGTAAAAAGATTTTAAATGATCATATGCATATGACCCAATAACAAATTTTCATGTTTGGTATATGTAGTGGAGAAATCCTTAGCCGACGTCATCACATTCTAATTGACTTATTCATGATTATTTGGACATGGTCATGTGAAGACCAATTTAATCATACATGGACCTACTTAGTCATACTTATGCCAACTTCGTCAATTTTAAGACTAATCAATCCATGCTTGATGTAGTGCATCTTGTAACAAATTGTCTACATATGATAACAACTTTTTCTTTTTAATGGATATATAAAATGGGTCTCATGTCATAGTATACACATGTTTTCTTAATGATCATGTAAAGGGTTCTCACTGTTTCTTTCACGGTAAAAAGCGTTGTGAGGGGAGTAGCAGAAATTGGATTTGAGATAGAGAACCAAGAAGATACATAACTACATAATTTTTTTCTCAATTTTTAGCAGATTTCATGGTGATTGACTTATGGAAATTATTCCAAAGGTGGGGGAAGGTTTGGGAAGTATATATTGTCTGGAAGAGAAACAACTTACGAGAGAGGTATGGTTTTGTCGGATTTTTAGGGGTGGAAAACCTAAGAAAGCTTGAAAATCAGTTGGATCAAATTCAAATTGGAAACATGAATGGTTAATATACCAAAATATGAAAGAGGTCACTAGAAGAAAGATGAAAGGGTCGTATAAAGATACAAAACACAAAGGAAAGACGCTATTAAGCAGACGGCGGGACGCAAGATATAGAACAAGTGAAAGGGCCATACATCTAAGCTCTAAAAAAGGACATCGAGACAATAAGGGAAGTTTGGTAGATCAAAGGAAAAATCAACAAAGAAGAGACACAAGGCACATAGTGGGTGAGAATCGACATTAAACTTATTAGTAAAGGAAAAATGAATGATGGGAGGAGTGTTGGGTGGGGGAATTTAAAAGATCTAAAAATTATTGATAAATTATCTAATTTCAATATCCATGGTGAAAGAAGGAAAGTTAAATTACAGTGTATGGGAAGTGATATGTTTTAATTTCAATAGTGAGTGAAGAAGTGATAAAAGAATATTTTAATGGCAGAGAGGAAGGTTAAGACTTATCTACCTTATTCATGCAGTGCACAAAAGGAATCCACAAGCAATCTCCTTGAATCGAATTAACATGGGTTAGATGTTTTGGAATACCACTCCATGCATGAAATGAGTCTACAATAGCCAAAATAGTGGCAACATCCAAAAAAATGACATTAATGGATGAGGCTACATAAAATATGTCAAGAATTGAATATGTTAGCCTTGATCTTTACCTCTAGTAAGATGTTGGTATCAACCTGCTCAAGAATCAAAATTGATGACGAGATATAATAAATAATTTTAATGGAGGAAGTAAACACCCAAATAAAGCCATGTTGCAACAAATGAAAATATAAAAACATGTCATCGAAAGGCTCTTTAGAAGCGAGTGACATTGGCATGGGTATTCACTCATAATTTTCTAAATTCAATAGTGAGATGTATGGGTTTCAAAAGCTCATGGGCAAAAAAGGAGAGCCAGAGGTGGCTAGAAAATTAAATTCCAATGGGAAATATAAGAAGAGAGTTAAATAAAACCTAATGGTTCAAAGGCAAGTAGTGTCACATGGGCTATATAGCCAAACTATAGAAAGTATACTACATGGTATCATTAACAAGGGTGAATTAAGCAGCAAAAGAGATAAAATAAAGATAGGTCAACATCCACAATCCCCCAAAATTAGAGCGTTAGCTAGAAGGCAACAAAGAAGAAAAAGGAATTGGAGAAGACTTACTTAAGGAGATGTGCAAGTTTGTACAAATCATGAAGAATTACAAGAAAATGGAAAAGAAAATGGCAAAAAAGAGGAACTATATATGCCAAAGATTTATCTCACATGAAAAAATGGAGTGGGAAAGAGTAGCAAGGGAGTCGGCAAGTACTAGATAACAAAGACCGTAAAATAGGAGTGCAAGGACCATTAAGGAAAATAACATGTAAAAAATAAATAATTTTGCAGACATAAATTCAAGGGAATGACCCATAGTGGGCTAAGGTCACAAAGTAAAAGAGTTGGGCTTGATAAAAAAGCATGCAACATGAAGCTATTAAACCAAAAAATGCAATATAATACAAAAAAGTGTAGGCTTGAAAGCAATTGGGAATAGGGAAAACTATAAAGTTGGGTTAACATGCAAAATTGGGATGTAGATAAAAAAAAGTGTAAGGATATAGGAGAAAAGGTAAGTAGCAATGAAGAGCAACTCCAAGAGTAGAAAACTAACTTATAAAAACATAGTTTGTGGCTAAAACGATCATGATAGTAGGTGTAACTCGTGAGTCCATTAGTGTTTATCTAAGTGAGTCAAAGACTTTTGAGCAAAAAGGATATAAAGAGAAATAAAAATAAATAAATAAAATGATACTATAAGATTGGTCACACACTCTTTTAGTAATAACCTCTCAGATGGGTGTATGAAAAGCTATAATAGGTTACTGACGCTAAAAGCTAAGTAAAGGAAGCAAGAAAAATATAGGGATGGCATAATAATTAGGAGTTCCTTCAAAGGGAGTGAAGAAGATATCATATAAAGGATAATGAAGATGAAGGACATACAAAAATTAGAAGTTGATGCAGCTAAAAAAGGTCATAATTAAGAAAGGGAACCAAGAAGGTATGTCATGACACTACAAGAAATGTTACATGTAGTGACGTACAAAAAGTGTCACTATAGGTACAATATATGTAGGTATATGTCTATTTGACATATAGTTACACAAAATTTTAGTGTTGATTTTGAATGAGATTTAACAACATATTTTGTGTGTCACTATAGTCAATACCCATACTTTTTAATAATATACCAACATATATTGTAGTTATTGTGTGGGTAAAAGTAATTTTTAGTAACATGTATAGTGTCACTATAGGGTGTGTGTCACTATATGACAATTTTGTTGTAGTGTGAAGCTTATGTTATATAACATTAGGGGTCTGGGGGGAGGATAAATAGTAGATTCATTAAAAACTTAGTTAGTAAATAGGGAGTTTACATGTTGCATATCCAAGAAACACAAAAAGAGGTAATAGATAAAAAAAAATTATGCCAAACTTTATAGGGAGAGTATGATGTACAATGGATTATGGGTCCAAACTTTATAGGGAGATTATGATGTACAATGGATTATGGGTCCAATGATCAACAAAGTTAGAGGATAATTGTGTGTATGGAATGAGAAATATTTTGAGTAAAATAACTCTTTTGTGGGACTAGGCTTTATTAGAATGGAAAGAAAATAGAAGGAGGGGGAATTAATAATGCCATCATAAATGTAAATGCATTGTGTGGTCGTGACTTATAAAGAAGGATGTGGGATGAATTGAAGACAATAAAAATTCAAAAAATAAAGTGTTTATTATAAAAGTCGGGAAAGAAAAGAATTCAACAATTTCATCTTTGAATTGGAGTTAGATGAAATACCAATGTTTGGGAGGAATTTTATATATGGTATAGGCATAATGGAAAGTCGAAAGGTACAATTGATAGAGTGTTGATATCAACAGAGTAAGTTGACATGTGGAGTGGGAATACACAATTTATCCTTGATAAACACGTCTTTGAACATTGCCTTATAATTGTGAAGAATCTTGTGGTAGATCGGGATCCTAAACTTTTCAGGACCATAGCTTTTTGGTTGGAATATAAGGAGTTTGTAGCATCCATGGCAAAAGAATGGGGGAAGCTTGAAGTGCACATATGGGGAACATATGTATTAAAAGAGAAGCTCAAACAATTGAATTATAAATTGAAGAATGGAACAATGAGAATGTGGGAACTTACAAACTAAAGTACCAATGGTATGGAAAAGAACTGAATGATATGGATAGGAAGGAGGAGCACCAAACTTTAAGTGAGGAAGGTATACTGACAAGGAAAGAGTTACAAGAAAATTTTTGGAAGACAACTATGCAACATGAGTATTTGTTGAGTCAAAAGTCTAGAGCTATGTGGCTAAATAAGGGAGATTGCAATTCCAAATATTTTCACCACATGGTTAATTTGAGAAAAAGTAAAAATTTACTTAAAAGGTGACATCTACATGGCACTTGGTTAGAGGAACCAATAATCGTTAAGAAGGAAGTGAGGAGATTCTTTCAATAAAGATTCAATGAAGAAGAAAGGGAAAGACCACGTCTAAATGGAATACATTTTGACAAGATATCACATGAGAACAATTTTTTTTTGAACGGCTAAGAAAATTTTCATTAAAAAGGTACCAGTGGTACCAAAAGAGAAATAAAATAGTATACAACATAACCAAACATACCAGTCTCGTGAAAGGAATAATTATGTCAAGGAAACTACATACCAAACATGTAGATTATTTTAGTGAATATACCTAGACATGCATAAACCAGGATTATAGCACCATTGTGAAAAAGTATACCGGAATGTCTTTGCAAATGATGACAACCACCTCCAACTGTAAACCTGAATCTCGTTCACCAATCTTTCAAAAGAGAAGCTATTATCATTGAACCTGTAACGATTCCTTGTCCTCCACACTGTCCAAGTAGTTGCCAACCATATGGAACGCCAATATACAACCTGTTCGTAGTGTTGAATTGGTCCAGGAATGAAGTTGAAATGATCCAAAATGTTGCTAGGTAGGGGGGCAGGACAGCTAATCCAATTGAGACAAACTTTCCATACCTTGTCCACCACCGGGCAGGTACAGAACAAATGATAATCAGATTCAATATCCTTCTTACAAAATACACATAATGCATCATTATCTGAGAGGACAATTCTCCTCCTAGCCAGATTATCCACCGTCGGGAGACCCCTACTCATCATTCGCCACACAAAAATTTTGGCTTTTGGTGGTGCTGGGATCGACCAGATACAATTAGGTACATCATTAATTATAAGATCCTGCTATAGTTTCAGAGGTGATAGCATGATAAGCATACCTTACTGTATAACTTCCAGACAGTTCACTCTGCCACCCCCATGAATCATCCTGTTCCGGCCTAAGACTATCACATGAGAACAATGATATGCTAGTAGTGAGGTTTGAAGAGTTGGAGGTTAAGGAGGCAATTTGGGATTATGGGAGCACTAAAAGTCCAACACCAGATGGATACAATTTCAAATTCATAAAGACCTTTTGGACCTCACTAAATGGAGATATCGTGCGCTTTGTGGAAGGGTTCCATAGATTCAGCTTATTTGGCCTATGACTCAGTGTCTTGGTCTTCTCTTATCGACATGTTTCATAGGTTGGGGCTTTTGCAAAACATGGATAAAATGGATTGTAGGGCATCTATCTTCTAGCTTAGTTACAATTTAACCAAGGTATGTTTTCCACTCATTTTTTTATCATTTGAAGACCGTATTTATCTTTTGAATTACTTGCACTCTTTAGATTTATCATTAGAAAAAGGCCCTCATTGTTGGGGTTTTTTTTTGGATTATTTGCACTCTTCAGATTCATAATCCTTGTTTGAGATTGTTTCCCTTCAATCTATGTAGTGGGAACGTCTAGATGACATTTTTATTCCTTGGTTGCAGTAAGCAAATCGAGAGGTCATTCCACCCTTTGTCCTCGAATATGGCCAGCAAGCGATCCCAGTTCGCGGCAGAGAACAAGACAGCAAGTGAGCGTACATTTGCTCACTTCTTCTCCATCACGACGCTGGAGTCTGGAGATACAACATACAAGGTAATTTCTTTTATTTTTTAATCCTAAAATATATCCCTTTATTTTCTACAATCTTTATACATTATTGTAGGTCCGTTCCATTCTCCGTCATTTATTGCGATAAATATTCCTGATTGTCGTTAAAGGATTTTGACCTCTGTAGTTACAAGTGAAACTGCATGAATCTATTCCGCTAACATTTTTTTATTATATCATAAATTAAAATTTGAAATTAAATTTATTAAATTTAACTCTAACATTAACAAATTTCACTTATGCAACATTAGTTAACACAAATTTTAGCCAATTATGTCGATTAATTAAAATGTTTAAAATTTAGATTTTAACCTTTGACATAAAATAAATTATGTTAAGAACGCCCTTTTTCTCCCAAACAGTTGTGCACTTTGTTTTGAAACTGTAAATGATCATGATCTGCCCTTAAAAATAGTTTTACATCATTTTTTTTACACATACTCAAATATTTCAATGTGTTATATCCTAACCTGCTTGTTGTTAAAATGTGAAAATAAAACGTGTTTATATTTTTAGCTAAGCGATTCTCTGCTTGATATGGTTTCAGGTGTAGTGAGTGAGGTTGGGTGGCAATAATATATGTATCTTTTTTGCTAAATTTTAAGAGAGACTAGAGTCTCCAAGTTCTATTTTATTATTTAGCCCTATTGTTGTTAGGTATTCAAACAAGGGAGCACATTCAATTTTTTCATGTTTGTAATATTTTAGGTTTACTTTGGTAATCTTGTTGGAATTTATGAGACTTTTTTCATGTTGTCAGTTATCTGTATAATTAAAACCTTATTGTGGTTTAAAAAGTTTAATTTGAAGAAAATAAAAAAATTGTCACGTTTAATATTGGTACGATTTTCATTTTTATTTATGTATTTAATTGTATTATTTGTTTTTTTTTTGTTTTGAAACAGGTTATTGAATTGAAATCACAAATGGTTGAACAAAATAAGAAAATAGAGGGGGAAAAAATAAAAGATTTGAGACAATGATGATTTTTTTTTTTGCACAGAATTATCGGGGTCAAAGACTTCTTAACTTGCCTATATTTCAATATTCACTAGTAATATTTTAAATTTGAATTAATTTTATAAATATTTTAAAATATACTTTATTTTTCTAACTAAGTTATATATTTAATTTTAGGTATCTAACGAAGGAAGCGCACAACCAATTAATGTCCCTAATCATTCTCCAACAAATTCTCAAGATAGACAGTAGGGCTACATTTGTTAAGGAGAGATGTTGACCATTTTGTTGGATATGTTTTTATTACTTCTTAAAAGTCATTTTGGATATTACTAAACTATGGATGTTGCTTGTTAGGAGTTTTTTTGGATGACTTTTTTATGTACATTTTCTTATTAATATATTAAATTTGTGGATTGTTTATTCATTTTATTTTTTAATATTTATATAACTTGTGCATTTCAAAGTTCATATATAGATTGAAATATTATACATGGGTAAAATATATAAGGTAAATAAAAAAATATTTTTATTTTAAAAAATTGATTAACAGGGTTAAAACCAATGGAAAAGCTTAAAATTAATAGGGGTTAATGAACTCCAAGAAAGTATCACTTTTTGATCAGCCAATTGAGATGCTAATGATGGTTAAAAACCATTCATAAGCTATATAAAGATTTAAAAATTGCAAGTACAAACAAGATATTAAAAACATAATGTGGCCTTAACGAGGGTTTAAAACACTTGATAAATTACAGGGTTTACATAAGCAATAGGTAATGTTTTAACAGGGGGTTTAAAGCCCCTAGTAAATTACAGGGGTTACACAAACAGTAAAAAATGATGATGGTGTTAACAAGGTTTACAGCCCTTGGTAAATTACAAGGGTTATGTAAACGGTAGATATTGACTATGTCACTAAGGCGGGTTAGAAAATCGTGGGTATGTCATGCATTTCTAGGGGTTGTCAAAAACTGCTGATAAATCACTTGCTACAAATGCTTTTCCGACAAAAATCGCAAATGCAGAAAATACATTTTCTGGGGGTTTTAACCATGAGTAACACCAAAAATAACTCAAGCTAACCCCATTTTTTCTTGTAGTGAAGGGAAATGATGGTATTCTCCAATTATATGAATTGTAGAGTGTTATCACTACTATTCACATACTTTAAATATGGACAGATCTTAGGAAAGAAGAAACACGGGTCCCTGTTATAAAGAAGATTGAAAAGAGATTATCACTATGGAAGAGCAAATACTTATCTTTATTTAGGAGAATTTGTTTGGTAAACATGGTAATATCATCCTTACCTTTATTCTTAATATCTTTATTTAGTATACCCAAATGTGTAGTTAGGAAGATTATTAATCTGCAAACAATTTTTTTACGGGGAAGAAAGGAGGAAAGGAAGATGATTCAAGTAAATATAAAATTGAATATAAGTTTAATTTTTAAAAAAAAAATATATATCATATGCAATTTATTATCTATGCAAGGTACGGGTCAATATATAGTTTGTATTAATAATATTTTATATATATTGAATTTCTATGTCTATTAGTTTCGAATTCTTTTATGAGAGTAACTAATTTAAAATATCCTCGATCCAACATTTTTTTTTTGTAAAGATAAGAAAGATTACAAAGATGGTCGCAATGAGGATTAAACTTAGGTTTCATGTTTCTAACTACTTCAACCCTTCCCCACCCAACTACTAGGCTAACCCTAATGGATCTATCCAACATTTTGTTTAATCATAAAAGATGTTTTTCTACTTTTAAATTATATTTTTGTATTTATTAAAATAATATTTGACCAACAAAAATTATATTTTATAAATATAAATTATTTCTTAATTATCGATGTTTAAAACACAGTATAAATATTTTTGTGAACAAAAAAATTACATTTTTTTTATCACTAAATATCATATCAAACGGGAATTTAGTGACTTGTAAGTCCCTTTGGCCCAATCTTTCGATTTCTTATACTTTTGCCCAAGGAAATTTCGGTATTTAGGGATTGAAGTTTGATACTGTAGTTTGGCCTGTATATTTTTGAAAAGATAAAATCTGGCAATTTTAACGGATTTAATATTTATAAAATGCCATAGCTGTCATCGTATCTCTATATGCTTTAGATTTTACATGAAGCGACGATAGACTCATCTGTAATAAGTTGTAATTTTAGTGACAAGAAAAATGGAAGATAAGATCAGATAATACATTAAAGCATTTAATTAAAGAGACTCTAACACCATACGAACAAACCACATAATTTAAATATTTAAACTTCTATATAATAATAAGGAAAATATGAATAAATTCTCATCAAAGCACTGGAAAAAGATATTCATATTTCTAAATAAAATACCTTTTCTATTTCAGAATTATGAAAGATATATATCCCCTTATTGCTAATGAAGAGTTTAATACCATTACAAGTGGACCAAAATGTTTATTTAATTTTTCATTTCTCAAATATATTGTTACATATTACGGGAAAAAAATATCGCAAATGACAGCTGCTATTGTGATAAACGGTAATTAGCTAATTATTTGAAGACATAACTCTTGTATTTGCGTGCTACACACAAGTTAATACAATGAGCATATATCTGAATTAACTTTTACCTTCAGGGAAAACATTTTTTTAGCTTTTCACCAAGCCTAAAAGAGCACAAAATGAAAATCATATAAATTCTTATTGATCCTCTCAAGGCAATGTAAAAGGAAAATGTCTAGTAGAATAATTGAATGAGTAATCAAGGTGAAACTAATTAATATTTTATTAATTAGCTTTAGGGTTTTCCAAATATTTTTAAAACCATGAACACTAAGTTGTAAACTACATTACTGAGCTGACATATTAAAAAAAGGGTAAAAAATTCGTAGGTGCATAGCTTCTGTAGTTTTCTAATCTGTTTATAAATTTGGACTCAGCCAATCTGTTGACCACAATTTCATATCACACTTTTTTTCCTTCTTAGTGAATTTTATGTCTTATAGCTATTTCCCCATCACTTGGCAGAGAAAGATGGAGTTCAATACCCAAAACCCTAACAGATCTGAGATAAGATGGAGCTCAGAAGATCAGGGTGGTCCTGGACAAGTGAGATCTTATTCTTGTTCCTTTTGCAGGAGAGGGTTCTCAAATGCACAAGCACTAGGAGGCCACATGAATATCCACCGAAGAGATAGGGCAAAGCTCAAGCAATCTTCTGAAGAAAACTTGCTTTCCTTGGACAACTCAATCAAGGGCTCAAGTGACCACAATGACCCTTCTGATTTGGAAGAGAAGATTTTGTTTCGCTTGGGCTCTGGCGAAGATCAGAAGCATGCTACAAATCATAAAATGCCATTCAATTTCACTCACAGAGATGATCATGATCATGCACAACAAAGGGCCATGTTAATTGGTTCAACAGAAATTTCCCATCTTCCTTCATTTGTTTTGGGGCAAAGGATTGAGGAGAAGAAAGCTGAATTGGACCTTGAGCTTAGGTTAGGGCCGTTAGGCCTTCATCCTCAGGAGTCACCAACATTGAACACTAGAGCGTTCTTTTGAAATAGCGTTCCATTTGGAAGATCAGCGAAAAGTTGCTTTTATTTCATACCTAGCTCTTCTTCCATCTCTACAATATAAAGGTAAATTAATTACGTTTAAGAATTAATTTTGATGCAGTACGGATATACTTTTCACTTACAGTACTCCATCAAAATTAAATTCTCTATATGTGTCATGTTAGTTCAATAATGGGACGCTACCATGTGAACTTTTATGTTAATATTGCTTGTATTTTTCTGCTATTATAGCAGGCGGGTTTGTGATTTTGATTTTGTCTTTCGTTTTTATTCTTTTGGTGATTGTTATTGTTCTATCTACAGTATATAGAGAACAATTACTGCTTCTGTAATCCGACAGCTACTATTTAAAGTTGTTGATTTGGCTATTATATATATATAAGAAGTTGTATGTTGGTTTGGAAATATGATTCTCCCAAGCGATTAATGGTGATGTTATTTTCGTTTAATTTCTTGCTAGTTTGATAGTATTATATTGCATGTTTCAACTTAAATTTCTGTTATAGCATGAACCATAACATATCATCATAACATTTGATACAAAATGATGTGGTTTGAATGAACAAGGAAACAACTGAACTAAATGTTGAAACCTAAAGTATGGATGAGAATTCTATCCTGAGTTACAAGCAAGAGAAATGACTTGCTCAAAGACATCATCAAGACACTTATTTATATTTGTATTGGTGCAAACTTCCTCTTTTAAGAATTACTTACCCTCTCTTTCTTTCTTTTCTCCCTCTTTGTTTACTTTTTTTATTGCTTATACACTACTATAAATTGGAAACTGAAAACTTAGTTTTCCGAGAGATACATGATAAGTGAATTTAATTAAAGACTAGTATTACGGACCTTGCTCTATAAGAAGCCCTAATAATGGACTACTCCTTTTGTTTTTTCTCCTTATGGAAACACGTTACTGACACTGAAGTTGGTGATAATAAGCCATAATCTCTTTATAATTTTTTTTTGTATGCAATTTTACTGATCTCTTCAGAACACTAATAGGGCCATCAGCTCTCGATTTAAGAACCCCAAAGCGTCCTTGTGAAAATCATTATCTGCAAAATGAATCCATACATTATCTCAAAACTTGCAGGCGTTTGCATCAATTTTAATACTTTCATTTTGTTCAAAAAACATTCTCTCAAACCTTCATTAATTTTGTTCATTTTTTTCAATCTCTTTTTACCATCACTACAAAAAATGATGGCTAGTTGGAATTTGAGTAAATATATATTAACCAAGTCTAGAGAGGTTATAGCTAGCATTAGATCCGTATATCTCCTTGAATGGAATTTTAGTGTCTTACTTTGAGATCCATTGGAGGTAAACTCTACACCTGTGGCAATTGAAGACCACATTTTCTAATATTTCATCTCACCAATTATCTTAATATGAATTATCTAGGCATAGGTTAACAACTTCTATTTGCTTATAAACTTAATTATTAATGATGTGACTTTTTCAATAGTTATGTGATTGTTAAATCTAAACCAGGCGTTTGCATCAATTTTAATACTTTCATTTTGTTCAAAAAACATTCTCTCAAACCTTCATTAATTTTGTTCATTTTTTTCAATCTCTTTTTACCATCACTACAAAAAATGATGGCTAGTTGGAATTTGAGTAAATATATATTAACCAAGTCTAGAGAGGTTATAGCTAGCATTAGATCCGTATATCTCCTTGAATGGAATTTTAGTGTCTTACTTTGAGATCCATTGGAGGTAAACTCTACACCTGTGGCAATTGAAGACCACATTTTCTAATATTTCATCTCACCAATTATCTTAATATGAATTATCTAGGCATAGGTTAACAACTTCTATTTGCTTATAAACTTAATTATTAATGATGTGACTTTTTCAATAGTTATGTGATTGTTAAATCTAAACCAAAAAAAATATGATTATTAAATAACTTTTAATCTTGATCATTTTTAATGGTTGTATAACTGTATGGTCCAATATTACTCCCTTCATATTTGTATAAACACTCCTTTCATATATATATAAATGTAACTCTTAGAATAACTTAATTAATCCAAACTTATAATAGCAAACTATCCTAATTAATTTTAACCTACCCATAACATTCCTATTATTATGCGAGCCAAAACCGATATCACAAGAGCTTTAGAAACTAAGAAATTTCATAAAACACAATGATACATAGAACATAAAATCAAACATATATTATTAGCAAGAAAAGTATGTGAAAGCATTTTTAGCTTATGAAATTCCTCATGTATATATTCTAGTGTATGAAAATATTTAAATTCAATTTAGTTGTGATGGAATAACCTTTACCTCGTATATGTCTTTGATTCGATATTAAAATTGTATGCTTTCATACACTACTATATATAAGGAATCAAACACGATGCAAATGTGTATGAAAGCATTTAAATTCAATTTAGTTGTGATGGGAAAATCATTACCTCATGCTTTAGAAAAGATTTTGAAAATTCTACATGTTTTTCTTTTAATTTCACAAATACACTTATTTATAGTAAGTGATGCAATGAGGGATATATAGAAGATATCACAGATATTTGGAGATTAATAAAGGAACAAGTCAATCATCCACAATCAAAGAATTGAGAATGATAGTATAAGAATGGTCATTATATATGTTTAAGATCTTAATAATCAAGTCTCTATGTCCACCAAAGAAGTTCAAATAGTGAGGCACACCCCTAATAACTTTATTCAATGGTCAAGAAATTTTACAAAGGTTGTTACAATGTTACTCCTAACAATGTTATTTACTCATGTCTTCCAGAATTTACAATTAAGTTGGCTTAATCATGTTTACTAATATTGTTTTATCTTAATTTGTTAATTGTTTAGGATGTTCCCAGATAGAAGAATCAGGTTCCAACTAGATAATTGAGTGCAGTAGTCGTGACTATCGAGAGGAACTGTGTACTAATACAGTTGGAACATGAAGAGTTTTAGAACATAAAAATAGTAAAACATAATTTATTACACATAATATATTATTTATTCTCTATGTCTTATTACTTTAACATAAAAATAAGTTGAATTAAAGAAATAAGGTTATAGTGGGACCCATATAAACGTTAAAATAAACAATTTTTGATGTATTTGAATATTGAAAACACAAACTTGTCGACATGCGTGGAATGCCTCAAGGTACCATCGTGAGAGCCTTCTTGCGCAATCCTGTTCTGCGTTTGGAGAAGGTGACTTGGCGGTTGATTTTGTTCTTCATGTTCTTCTGCTGA